CCCGACCGCCCTCCTCCCTCAGCCCTCCCTCAGCCCTCCCCCAGCCTCCCCGACCGCCCTCCTCCCTCGGTCCGCCTCGTAGCTCGAGGGTCTGCCCAGGATGTCTGCCATCAACATCAACCCCAGCCGCTCGCCCTCCTCCCTCGGTCCTCCCCCAGCCTCTCCCAACCCTAGTACTCCCCCGCATATCTCTGCCTGTCCTCCCCGCTCGCCCGTCTGTCCCTCCCCGGCCCCCTCCCCCAGTTCCATCCTGCCCGCATCGTAAGCCATTGTCCGGGTTCCTCAGACGTGCCCAAGCTCATGAATTCGTCCCGCTCGCTTCCTCCGCCCGAAACACTCACCAATCGCGCATCTCCTCTGCAGGTCAGCTGACCGTGAACGGTCAGGTCGTCGCCGACCTCTCCGTCAACAACATGGCGGGTCTGTCGCAGCTGCTAGGCGGTGCCGCCGCCGCGGGCCAGCACAACCTGCAGGGTCTGCCGCCCGATCTGCTCAACCTGCTCAACTCCGTCAACGCAGCCGCCGGCGTCGGCAGTACGGGGAGCAGCGACGCGGGAAGCATAGGTGAGTCGTCGTTAGGGGGCGCCGGCGTTGTTAGGGGATTGTTAGGGGCGCCGGCGTTGTTAGGGGACGCCGGCGTTGTTAGGAGGCGCCGGCGTTGTGGGGGAGGCGGCAGCACGGGCAGCAGCGACGCGGGAAGCATAGGTGAGCGATGGTTAACATAGCGTTGGTCGTTAGTGGGATGCCGTCGTAGTTAGGGGAATGCCGTCGTCATTAGGGGGATGCCGTCGTCATTAAGGGGGCGCCGTCGTGGCGACGGCTACCGTCTCTCGGTTGCTGTGTGAAGGTGTCCAGAAAATTGAAAGCAATTTAATTAGCTGCTTAGATGATCGAATACTAATAAATAATACTAGCAAACTTGCTATTGTTATTTATTTATTAGACATGGATCTATTCGATTAGATGTGTTTATCGCGTTCATCGAACCCACTGGGGTTGGATAAATCTATCCAATACTACTATATACCACAATCTATCCAATACTA